GAAATTTTAATATGATGAAGCTGGATTGTTAAGGAATAGATTTTACTACTGCCGATATGAGGTAGCTATTAACGCTAAAGTGATATATCGCTTCAAAGTCAGGGTTTTGAAGAGATTTTTTTGCAAAGCGTGAATTCGGCGTGACTTTGTAATCTGAGATTTTTGTTGACCCTGAAGAAACAAGGTTTGGCAAGTAAACATTACAGATTGTATAATTCAAAGTTGGCCGAGTGGAGGTCTGCGTCTGGTCTCCAACAAAAAAAAAATAATAAACCATGGGTAGAACATGGACCACGCTCGGCCCATGGCCGCGCAGTTAATAAACTCAAGAAGCAAGAAGCTAAGAAATAAAGTTCATTTAAACACTTACCAAATTTCCAAACCACTGGTGTGCAAGTTCATGTCCTTTGAAAAAGATAAACCAAAAATAACCAGTTTTAAACGGATAAGAAAAACAATGATAAATAACGTATTATTGACCAACTCAGCGTTTTAAGAGATTGAAATCATGGATGTCAAAAAGTTAATAGACGAACACTTAGTTAATAGACAATAAGTGACTCAGTTCAAATACTTGCATAACGTTACAAGAAAACTACATGGAACAAAGAGAATTTAGCTGTTACACAGTATAGCTCACCAACAACAAGTCCAACCCACTGTTTAGCTGCAGAAGATGAGTTTTCTGGATCAACAAGAAGTGCAGTTTCCCTTTGAACAAAACACAATTATACTATTAACCTTACGAGTAACTGTAAAGTAGGTGGACATTATGAACTGCAACAATAAAATTATCATATTGTTTCCACCTGACTCCAAACATACATTACAAACATACATTTTTATTTTTGTTTTCAAATTATAACATGCCCGCGGATAGCTGAGCTAATCTAGCTAATCTGAGCTAATCTAGGCGGGTCATGTGATTTACAGTGGCATATTTTGGTTGGTGAGCTGGACTCCGGCTTAAGCGGTCTGGCCGAGTGCAAGCCCTAGCCAAGTTCATTTGTGTGTTCTTGGGCAAGACACCTTTAATCACTATCAAAGTGCCATCTCATTTCCAGTTCTAAGCTGCGATCCTTTTGGTTAACACAAAGAAATTGAGACCTCTGAGAGAACCTGGAAGCCCAGCTGGCACACTAGTCACATCAATTACTCTCTACATGTTCAGGAACCATTATGCTCGCAAGCATGTGCACAGTCAAACCAGAACCAGGATTTTCTGGTTCAGGTTTTTTATTTCATCCTGTGTGTCACACAGTTGATTGTCAACGAGGCTGAAAAAGTGTGGGCTCTGGGAATGAGATTGCTCCCAGTGCCTCAGAAAAGTCATCACTCAGGTGTATGTAAATGAGTAACAGCAAACTGAATGTTGGGGGAAACCATCTGGGAACAATATCTGACTATATTATGCAATCATGACTCACCTATAAGTAACAAGGCCCCAGTTTTCCATAGCCCCTGCAATAAAAAGACAAAAACATCTTTAAACATTATATTTTTCTTGAGAAACCAAGTAAATGTAGTTTATCATTGCATTTAATTAAAATGGTTGGCCACTTGGGGACACAAATATTTGTCTTTTCATTTTGATGGTATCTCTCACTTGTTTGCTACACTCAATTGTGGGAGTTACCATTGGCACGTGAAGATAAAATTCATATACTCATGCCGGCATATAAAATCTTCTCTTTCATGTTGCTCTCCTTATCACTCTCACCTGCTGCAAAGTCAGGAATAGCAATGAGGTCCATCTTTGGTAGAGGATAACTGATGTTGAAGTACTCTTTATAAAATGGTAGTGTCTTCTGTGCAACCTGTAAATTAAGTACATTTGCAAAGTCATGAAGATTACTAAACAGAGGTGAAGATGTATATTAAACATCAGAAGGATTAACGAGTGAAAGAAAAACCTAAGGTAGGACAGAAGGAAAAAAGATAGAGTCAAGGGAAAATAAAAAGAAAAAAGTAACTGATGGAGGGAGGGAGGAAGGAAGTAGGAAAGTAAGGAAGACAGGAAGTAGGAAAGCAAGGAAGACAGAAAGTAGGGAAGCAAGGAAGGGAAGAAGTAGGAAAGCAAGGAAGACGGGAAGTAGGGAAGCAAGGAAGACCAGACGTAGGGAGGCAAGGAAGACAGGAAGTAGGGAGGCAAGGAACCAAGAAAGAAAGCAATGAAGAAAGGAAGTAACAAAGCAAAGGAGGGAGGGAGGAAAAGTGAGGGGGAGAGAGAGAGGAAGGAAAGAAAGACAGAGGAAAGACAGATGAAGGGGTGGATGGGCAGACACGCATGCACCATGAATAAACCAAAACATTGCCTGAACAAAGGAAGCATTGAAGGTACTAAGTACAGTACAATTAATTTACAATCATTAATTTCCTTACCTCTAAAGCAAACTGCCCCTGGATGGCTTTTCCTTTTGGAGTGTAAACTCTAATAAGGACACCATCAGCATCTTTTCCTTCAACAAAGTCAAACTCCCCAACAACAAATGCCACCAGATACGTAGACATGACAGGCGACTGTGCATACTTCACTGTTTTAAGGGAGGCATCACTGGCAACATCTTTCTCTTCTACAACATTCTGTCACGTGAGAGACAATGTGCCAAATTCTTGAGAAAACAAAATAATTTAAATTCTGATAATAGACTAAAATGCACTTCTACTTGTAAGTAAGGCTTTTTTAAATGACCTCATCTTCAAAGGGAGAGGGGAAGGGGGCTAACAAGAATTTTCAGTATCAAAAGCAGGTGGAGGTTTAGAAACAGTAGGAATTATACATCTAAAAAAGATTTGACTGGACTTCTATTTGGAAGGGAATAGCAGGGTGCAGTGAATGCACTAAAAGGTCAAAGCCATTCTCAACTTTGGACAGTGCTACTGTCAACAAGAGGAGAGAGCTCCCTTGTGCTTACCTACTGTTAATTCAAATAAAATAACAGCAAGTCGCAGGCTTGTAGCGCAAGCAATAACGAACCTACAGATTTTAACTCTGATGAAGGTGGACAGAAGCCACCAAAAATTTGGAAATGAAATTAGTAAGATTGAATTCCAAAAATCCCTCAAAATTCTCACTGGCCCTTAGAAGTGTTTCTCTTACAGTACCTCAGTCTGTAATTTAATGGGCATGTGAAGAACAGAATCCACTAGTCTGACTACAAATTCCAAAAGCCCTCAGCTATCGGACATAACTTTCTTTGCACATTATATGGTGAAAAAAGGAGTAATTACTGCATATAGTTAAAGTTACCTCTACAGCACATTTTGAATTACACTTGGTTTAAAGAGTAACTATATTATACATGTATTCTGCAGTCTTCACCTTGAGTTACAGGTACAATGTAACAATTTTTCTGAATCGACACTGTCTAATACTGTAAGTTCATAATTATTATTTTGAGCTAGCTAGCTACACACAACTGTACCATGTTTGACAAAGCAACCCTGTCTTTAGGCACAACCAAAGTAACATCAAATGTGGCTTTAAGGGCAGGCTCATCCCAACAAGGAAATGCTCGCCGAGCATCTGTAGGCTACAAAAAAAAAAACATACAGCTAAAATGCATGTTACGTACTTTTAAAGACAAATAAATTATTGTACATAAGATGTATAATAATTAGTAATCATATCAGTGTAAGAGGATTTAGGACAGTGACACTACAAGTTACAGGGGATATATTTGAAAATCCTCTAAAAATTGCACAAGCCCTTAGCATATTCATTTTAAAAGAAAAACACAATTAAGTCAGACTCTGTCTTCAGAAATCTAAATTAAGCTACATGTGTTATAGTATATTTTTGCAACTCAGTCTCTCTACTAGAGATTCCTCTACTAGAGAACATTGCCAACATACTGTACACAGCTTTGGATCCAAAAAGTCATATTCCAAACGGATTTCCATAGCTACTACTGTATGTGCATGAACTTTAAGTTGACAATTTCTTATAAATTTAGGATGTGTTTTTCATACATCAATAACTGTCATTATTTAAATCTATCCTTTTAATATACTGTAAATATTGTACATGTAAATCATATTTTGATCACTCCTTATCTCTCTTCATCACTCTCTTTTAATATTATCTTTACAAACGTGAATTAAGAGGAAGTGTTCATCAAACACTTTTTTGGGAGGTAATCAGTCCAGTTTGCAATATTATCGTTTGCACCACATGTACTACAGAATGCACATAAATACATACGTGTAATGTATAATTATGTACTGTAAGTACAAAATGTTTACTAGTAAAGTAATCATGTACATGTAAGAGATAGTTTTCTTAAAAAGTAAATGAAGTCTTTTAATATTAATTGGTGAGAGCATTATTATACATAATACAATGTAAAACCATAGCAAAGTAAAAGGAACATGTGAAAGTACTGTATAAAGCCATACTTCAAATTGTGTGACAGCGCAATACTTTTCTTTTCCGTCTGTCCCGGTGTATTTACTCCTGTAAAATCCTTTCATTTTATCATTCAACTCGCCAGTGAAGTCCATGCATAACTGACCATTTCCCAGGGGGAGGGGTGAAGGGAAGCTGATTGTCACTGTTTCCTCTTCTTTGTCATAACTGATTGCAGAAGAATTGACAACTGAACAAGAAAAACAGCAATCAGTTAGAACTCCTGTTAGAGTGGTTTTGTGAGTGTGGATCATAAAACCAAAAGCAAAGTCTACATCAGAAGTCTGGCCAGCCACAAAGGACACAGACAATACACTAATTAATATAACTCAAAACTCAAAGCAAATTAAATGCAACCATGTGTAGTTCCAGAAAAATATCCACACTTTCCTGATGGAAGGGGGGGTATGGAAGACCCTGTCCCCAGCCCCTCTGGAAATTCCAATTAAGCTTCATAATGTACATTATAAATTTCTTTAAATTTTTCCCTCACCATTTCCTGACCTACTGCATGAACCGAACATTTATAGTAAATGACCTTCCATGTATCTAATTGGCCTAATGCGTGTCTCAGATTTTGAAGAAAGAGAAATTAATAAATGAATCAATATAAAACTGTGATTTACCTGAACCATCAGAAGAGAAATTTGCAGACTTGATAACAATGTCCAGGCAGTTCATGGTCACCTTGTCTGCTGCTTGTCGAACCTACATAAATACAGCAACAACAAAATAATAAAGAAGTGAAAACACATGTGACCACCTTTAATATAAGCCAATTACTATTTTAATAAACAAGGCTGTCATCAAGGGTCGTAAAAAGCATACAACAATTGTTATGGCTAAGCATGCTTTATTTTTCCTTGATGCTACAGTGAAATTGCCTGTTGTGGAATGAATGAATTCACCCACAAAGTAACAAGTTTGCTACGGGTGTGGAGAACAAGGCTACAGGTGACTCAAAACTGAATGACAGACCTGCTAAATAACTACATGTTCTGAAAATTATCATCATAACTGGTTGATCATGTTGAAACGATTGAGGGTAACCTTTTTAACGCTATTTTGGCGGATATTTTGGATTAGGATACTGCATGGCAGCGCAGAGATGTAAATTTTATTTTCGAGTGGTAAAATACTGTTGTTAACACAAGAAAGGAGATTCATATCTTGAAGCCACGATGTAATAATAAAAAGCGATTTTACATGTACATGACAGAGAAAATCACTTCACCGTGATTGGATGAGAACAGGCCAATTTATTGGATATTATTATTTTGTCATTTGCACATGTACATGTATCACAGTGTAAATAATTTATGTGTACTGTACATTACTTACTAATGTGCTTTCTCAGAATTTCTCAGTCATATAATAAATGAGCAATCATACATATATGAAAGTTTGAGCAATTAAGAATTAAATTTTACACTGCTTGTGATAACTTTGAGAGAATTTTCAAATTATAGCACTTGTAGTTTTAATCCATTAGTGAACAAGTAGTCCCATTCATATGATTACCCAAACTAATTACTTAATAGTTAGAACTAGATTTTAATTACATGTAGTCCTTCTATTATATAAGTAAATTGTTTAAGAAGAGCACACGACAACCAAGTGCTTGACCAAGAATCCAAAGTGCATTTCAAGGTAGCACACACCAAAATATAACATGTGATATCAGTTGAGTAAGGCAGGTTTTAACTTTCAACTTGTGAAGTTGCCGTGGGCAACTGGCTCCATTTCCAATGGCAACTTGTCAGTCTTTGATGTCATTGGCAGGAAAGTGTGCCAAATTGCAGGCAGCGATACTGTTGCCATTGGAAACAAGGAAAGTTGTCCATGGTGACACCATAATTTTAAGTCTAAACCTTTGTCACCAAAGCTCTGTTGTGCCTTACTCAACTGATAATCATAGTACCAAGATTTTACAGGAATGTAACCGAAACAGCAAACATCGACATTGACAGTCTTTGGTGTAAACCTGCACAAAATTCATGCTGACCAGTAATATCAACGACAAAGCAAACAATCTACCAGGTTTCAAAGTACAAGAGAACTAGGACTGTCATCAAGTTTTGTGTCATGAACCCGTAGCCTTGATCTTCACACCCATGACAAATTTGTTACATTATACTTTAATGGTGAATTTTATGAAGAACAGGTAAGATATAGTTACATGGAATTTCACATAGTTAACGACTAGGAGCTAGCCTGGTCAGTAGTGTTTACGTAGGCAGTTGTTAGTGTCTTGGCCGTCTGCTAGCGTTTGTTTAGTGTTTGGTACGTTCTGTAGCGTTTGATATAGTTCAATGAATTTTACATAGTTTATGACCAGGAGCTAGTCTGGTCAGTAGCATTTTTTGTAGGCATTTGTTAATGTCTTGGCCGTCTGTTAGCGTTTCTTAAGCGTTTGGTGTGTTCTGTAGCGTTTACAGCAGTCATATGGCTGTGGGAGTCCTGGGGCTGACATTGTCCAGCGTTATTTTTGGTTAGTACATGCATTGTCGTCCCATGTGCTTGCAATCTCGTTCCCAGAGTCTTTGTTCCCCTTGACCAGTGGTCGGAAAACGAGGGCTCTGGGAGCAACCATTTCAGGTATGCGCCATAGATGCAGACTGTGCAGTGAAACCAGATGGGCGGAGTCACCAGAATTCAGTTATTTCAAAATGGTTGCTCCCAGAGCTCTCGTTTTCCAACCGCTGGTCAAGGGGAACGAAGACTCTGGGAACGAGATTGATGTGCTTGCAGCGTGTTCCTTGCTCTGTTAGCGAGGCGTTGTGGGTTGAATTATAGTAGTTTAGTGGTTCTTGGCATTCCCTCCCTATCCCCCCCTCTTTTCAGCAGTTTTTAGCGCCTTGGGGATGTGACTGTGGTTGCAGTCCCCGGGCTTTGTAGGCACCTTCCCTCCACTAGCGACTTGGGCATTAACTCACCCATAACATCAAGGGCCCATCAAGCATGCTCAGTTGTAGTGGGTGTTAAGGGTTACGGCCCTCATTGACAGCCCTGAGAACCATAAATGAATGAATGAATTTGTTGGCTTCTTTCCTAATAACCAGCATTACTCTCCCCCCACCCCCCACCCCTTCTCCACTCTGACCCATCCCTGCGTAAAATATAATTGTCATGGGAGTCTGGGGGGAGGGGAGGCAAGGAGGTGGGGGTGGGTATGGAAAAGAGAAATTCCAATTGATCAAAATCAAATTTGAAATTCATTGGCAATAATTTCATTCCTGTAGGATTATCGATAAAGGTACCATAGATAACGGAGATAATTTTGCAAGTGCCTCATGAGCAAAAAATCCAGGTTAACCAAGCTAGTTAAATGTAACATCAGGTCTGTGGTTCGGACAATTTAAAAGAAAGAGAAAGCGAAAGATAAGCTTAAGTCCTGTTGTGCACCTCCAATCAAAGACTGTTTTCGAGGAATACAACTTCGTGAATGAATAAGATCTGTGTACAATAAACCTAGTGTTCAATTACCTCCACATCGATAACTTCTTCCCCGGTGAAGGTGAATTCCGTAAGATTTGGCTTCAATGTCAGCTTGTAGTTCTTCGGAAGCACACTTGTGAGAAGTCGTTCGAAAGGTTTCTTCTGTGCCATCGTTGTAGACAGTTGAAAAGAGTTCAAAGATGAACTCGCCAGACAGAAAGAGTTGGATAGAGGAAAGACGTTTTTGCTGTTAGGCCTTGAAAACCCTTGGCAAACAAGAACACGAACGCGGAGAATTCTTCCAAGAAATGCTGACATGTGCCCTGGCCAGCAGAGTTCACCAGGATTACACGATCCGAATCCGAAGAACCGATGTTTTCCGTGAGAATACCTCGGATGCAATTCGGACACAGTAGGTCCGCATAGCGTACGAATGTCGTCTGGATGCAGTGGCATAACAGTCGACACACTTGTGCGAGAACATTTGCATTTGAATCAGGCGGAAAGATACCAAAACGAGCAGAGGAGGAATAAAACTAAACATCGAGCTCGGGAAACTGAACTAATTTATTCAACTTGGTCCTTAAACGTAAGTTTGAGAAGACAGAACTCCTTCCTACTAAGGTGATTTCGTAGCTCTTTCGAATTTGAAGCGGGATGAGTGCAACATAACTTGCAACATTTTTAATCAAACAAACGGGCCCAGCGTCACAATATATATTGAAGGTGACCAACAAGTTCACGAATTTTTTTTTTCAACCTTGTTCCCTCAGAATATTGAAATATTTACAATAGAAATGAGCAAGAACCGTCCACACTACTCCGGAGAGATTTAAGAACGGAGGTTTCACACTGAAAACGCATCAAACGTTTTCCGTCCAAACTACGACGGAGAAATTTAAAAGCACAACAATCATCGATCATTTTGGATTTGTGTTTGAGGAAAACTCGGTGAAGGAAATCACATGATTATTGTGACGCCATCGTTTTCGAAAAGCCAGTCTGTTTTCAAAGTGTTTTCTGTCCACACGAAAACGGAGAGCCAGCGTTTTCAAATTCCTCCAGCTTGAAGAGAGCTTTCGATAAGCTTCGTTTTTGTGACGGATTAGTGTGGACGGTAGGCCTAACCGTAGAAGTAAATTTCGTTTTGAAATTTCTCTGGCCTAGTGTGGACACACCGTGAAAGCAAATGGCAAATTACAGAGCTGAATTTCAAACTTCACACTGAGGGGACACAATGACAAACCATGCAGCCTTATGAACTCAGTAAAAAAGTATTTTGCTGAACCACGGTCAAACAGCTCTACCCTGCTTGAAAGCCTTTCTATAAACACAGCATAAACAACCCTTCAGAGAAAACACGGTCAGATCAATCGACAGAAAGGTCAAGAAAACGAAATTCATAAGAGAATGGCAAATGTTTCTAAATGTCACGAACCTAGGTGTCGTGTAGGCCTTTCATCCCCATTTTACACTGTAGATTAAGGTTACCGTATACCTTCAGGGGTGTCTCACGTCCAAGCGATGTAGCGCGTCCGGTTTAAGCTGTAGATACCTAAATCCCTATATCAAACTAAAGCTTATAGAGCTGGCTATCAAACCATACCAAAAATTTTGAAATAAAATGAACTGCCGATTTTTTCACGGCCACTAAATGCGA